TATATTTTCATTCGAATCACTTGTCGCTGAATAAAATGTAACATCTGTATCAGATCTACTAATATTTTGATTAATTAGTTCAAGAATTTGTTGATCCATTTCCTAAGATATTAAATTATTAATTAAAAACTTTTAATTTAAAATACATAAAAAGTTTGTCCACAGGGTTTGGTAGTAGAAGAAATAAGAGCGAGGTCTGTTTCAGGCCTTTTTTCTGGCTTACTTAGAGTAACCGGAATGAATTTTTATGGAACAGCTTTGATTAAACTAGAGTACCTTCGAGTCGAGCGACTTCGAGTTACTCGACTCGACCGCTTGGGATCCTAATACTCGGATTACTCAAGCTCGAAGGATTTCTCCCCTACCTGATCCCCCCTCCTCCAAAATTTTTTACTAGAAAAACATTCAATATTAAACTTACAAATATTTTTCTACATTTTATTCTTTCATTAAATAGAATTTGTTTTTTACTTTCTTCTAGCCAGTCATTACTATTTTTATATTTAATTTCTTTTAAATATTTAAAAGTATATTTATTTACATCCTTTTCCATTTTTATTAATTTTTTGCCAATTTTAATTTTTTCTCGTAAATGCCATTCAATTTCTTTTTTTAAATTATTTTTCAAAATTTCATGCGTTAATTCGGAATTTATTATACCTTCTAAATTAAATAATCTTTTATTTAATCCCTCAAATCTTTCCTTCCAACCATTAAATAATTCTAAAATTTTATGCTAAATATTATGTACGATGTTAATGCTGTAGAAAAATCCATGGAACCATCATGGAAATCTTGGAACCATCATGGAAACCCTTTCCATGGAACCATCATGGAAAGGGCCCTCGCCTTTTGGTTTTTCACCCCGGTGGTTCAGGGGTATGTATTTCGGTCAAATCAAGTCGGATTTTTTTGATTTTAGCGTCATTCGACACAGCTCGATGGGTTCTACAATTGTTGTTCAGACTGACCATTTTTAAACTGACTATGGGGGGAACTAATTAAGTACCACACATGCCATTCTATCTCCAAAATCCCGCAAAAAGTTTACCAGGATTACCTATAGTATATAAGAACTAGTTGATTAGACCTGGTAATCTAAGATTTTCGACACTGACCAAGCTCTATCAATGGGAAGTTTCGATGATTAAAAATAAATAATTATGCCTTGCATATGGCAAACCTTACGACTTTTGTTCAATGGAAAAAAATTACCTAAATTTTCTTTCATATCATTATTATATTTTATTATATTAATTAATTTAATTGGAGGTTTTTTACATTTTTCTTCCAATAATTCTCCTTGAATTCCCATAATTATTTTTATTTTAAATAAACATTTTATCCATTGATTTCTATATAATTCTTTTATTGTTAATTTATTATCGTTATTATCATCTTCATCATCTTCTTCATAGCTATCTGATATTTCTTTTTCATTAAAATCTTCATTATTTTTTAAATATCTTTTTTTATTGTATAAAAATATTTTTGGATTTTCCGCCTCCTCGTTAAATTTTCGACTAAATAATCTTCTGAAAAATTTGAGTGTTTTAGTTTAATATATAACAAAAATTTGGATTGGGTAGATATTTATACTTAAACCAATCTTTGCATCCCAATAGAAGTATGACTGTACCATCAGTGATGGTTCACAGCAGACTATATTGAAATCCTACAATATTTGTCCAGATACAATAATGGGGCGTCTTTAGCCAGAGCTAAGACTTTTAAATGTCCGGAGAGATCTGAATTCTGAGAAGCAATATTATTTAAAAGTAATATTGGACCGAATTCAATGGAGAGATGGGATTATAAATTTTCAGAATAAAGATTTCTAAGTTTGCTAATTTGATGTCTCCTTTTACCTTAAAAAATAAACTAATAAATTCCAAAAAATAAACAACAACCGCAATTTATTTCCAAAAATTAATAAAGAAAAACTACATAAGCGAAAGATTTAGCACTAATAAGAAAAAATTTATGAATAAAATTTTATAGGCGGTGTTGATATTCTAAACTACGGGGAGGGGAGAGGGAGCGAGCACAATGGGCATCAAGCAAATCCCTCGGGTAGGGCCTTCTTTCCTTTCCATTCATTACATTCAACTGCATCCACATGCTCCGGAAATAGTTCCTGGTTGTGAACCATTAAAAACTGGCCAAAGAATTGTTTTTGCAAACAATCCTTTCGGTTGTTGGACATTGTTGCAACTTTTAATGTAATTAAGGCAGCAACTATAAGCTGATACATAGTCGTTGAAGAATAATTTGTATATACAATTGTATATTGCGTTTCTGTAGATGCTAAATGAGGAATTCTGAGTTGGGTTAAGAAGAGGTCTGAAGTCTAAATCTATGGCTTGCATTAATTCTGTGTTGTTATTTTTGTCAGGTTTACAACAATGGGCATAATCTTGAGGAACAGTTTGGTTGTAAACAGTAACGTTGTTATTGGTACACTGAATAGAAGAGTGATTAAAATATGAATTTAGTAAAAACTAACAAAGTGTGAAGAGGCGATAACTTGCCAGAATTGACACTGAAAACCGTTCCCAAAAATTGTCGTTTGGTAACATAACAAATGTGCCAATGAACTCAAATATGAGAATTGTGCCGATAAAAATTTCAAACGTCTAAAGGAGTCAGTTTCAGTTTTGAAGAAGCTGTAGCAATTTGAAACGTAGTTGTTAGCTTCGGCTATGGTTGAGGAGTTATAATTCTGAGCAGTGGCATTGGAATTGATGGAGTTGTTAAGTGATTGTAAAAGAGAATTGCTATCGGCATCTCCGCTTAACATTGAATTTCCAATTGAGGAGAGTGTTGTATACTATTTAGTAGGGAATCTTTGTATATATTTAAATCAAAAATACCATATCACAATTGGAAAGATACTGTTGAACTGTTCCAAACCCAGTGATGTATGCATTCAATATTGCTTGCCACAGTGTGGGAGATGCATTATTAGCGCAGTATTGGCGAAGAACCATAGCGATATAGGCATGTTTTCGTTCAATTGGCCAGTCATCATCGTTTTTAAAGCAGATCCTTTTAAACCATTTTGTCCATGTAAGAACGATTGCGGTTGTCCCATTGCCACATTTGTCATTAGCTGTTGCATTTTCCATAGCAGCAGTTAGCGGGGAATTGCCAATATTATCCACTGGAACTATTACTAATTTCATATTATCTGCATTGAAGCTGAATCCTGCAAGAATAAACTCGAAGATCCTTCCCCATCCAGTAATTTGTTCACATTCAATTAATGGTTCAATGTCAGCGTTGTTTGCGAAGAAAAGTTTTAAATGATAAGCACATCTAATAACCTTTACCCATAAAGTTAAAGTCACATCAAGGAGCTCAATCTCTATCTGCTTTATACAGACCTCGAAACGGTTCTTTAATTCAAAAAATATAAAAATTTAAAATAATATTTATATTACTTGCTGGTCAAAGTTCAAACGCAAAAATTTAATTCTTCTTAACTCATTGACTAGAACACATGGGCAAGATCCTGATGTTGAGTTAGAAGTAGAATTGTTCAAATAAATATAATTAATTATTGTGACATTTGCAGGAGCTAGACTTGCAGCAGATGATGTATCCAGGCTTACTCCACTAGCACCCGTAGCCAGACTTGCCGCAGCGGATGTGGTTGTAGAAGCCGTTGTAGTTGTTGGGACATTACTTGGAGTAGTTGTAGCATAACAATCACAAATTGGCCCAATGTTACATTCACGATGAGCTTGGCTATTTGAGTTACTTTCCGAATTTCGTGTATTAGTTAAAGGTGCAGGACAATTGGTTGACATAACAATGCCAAAACAGATCCCGAAAGCCAGAATATTTCCGAAAAGAAATTTGGATCCCATGTTCGAACAGTTGAATATAACTGATTGGAAGGGAAGGTTTATTAGTTTTATTTGGATTTTTGTTCGACTACGAGGACGAAACATGATTAGTGGGACTTCTGACTGCCTTTTATAGTGAGTATCTTCTTGTGTGGTCGTAATTTAAATTGAAGGGATTTGAATTTTATTTTTGTTTTTCAGCCATTCGTAAAGTTAATTTTATTATATTTACATGTTGTTTTGATAGACAAATTTATCAAATACACAGAATATTTTTATTATTTAGGTTATTAATTTTTTATCCTTGTTTATAATATTTACATACAAGACTCTGGTTATTATCCTTTAAGCGGATATTGAGTGTTATTTTCTAGTTTATAGTACCCTGCGGCCTGAGATTAAATTTCACTTAACATGAGCCGATTTTATAGTCTGTTTATTAGACATATAATGATTGGAACTTTCTTTCGCATCTTTTTTTTCTCGATAAATCTAAAAAATTTTTTGTACGAGAATCGACATCTTGAAAAATTCTTATTCTCGATAACTGAGATTTTCGATCTAGATCTTGTCTCGGTCCGGCCTTTAGTGCCAACTCGACTCTGGACATTAATTATTATTTCATATTACTTTCGCATGTGCGGAGTACCTTGTATAATTGTATGTACTATTGAGGTAAAATCCTAAATTAGCACCTTATTATTTCTTTAGTTTTTGATTTTTTCTCCAAATTTTTTTTATCTTCATCTCTTATGATTAAAGGTAAATTATTTAATTTAATATAAATATTATTCCATTCATAAAATATTTTATGTAATTTTTTATTTTCTTCATATCCATTAATTAATAAAAATTCATTTCTATTTATTATTACATTGTTTTTAATTTTCAAATAATTATCGATAAAAAAGTTGAAAATTTTACAAATTTCTTGTTTGCCTAATTTTTCTTGAATGTTTGTTTTTTGATTATTTTTTAGTAAATTATTATTTAATTGTTCATTATATTCTAATTGAGGAATTTGATCATTCAAATTTTCTAACTCATTAAATTTGAAATTTAAACGAATTGGAGCTCCATTAAATTGTTCTGGTGAATGTTTTGTAACTAAAATATAATTTAAATATAGTAAGAGCGAGATAAAAGTTTAATCCCGGGCAGGATTCGATCCCGCGACCTCCTGGCAGTTATTGCTAGGCGCTTTCGCTCACCACGTATGTACAGGTGCTCTACCAACTGAGCTAACGGAAGCTGCCTGCTGTTTGTCTGCTATGCCTAGAATGGATAGTAAATCTAGTTGGGTTCAACTCGAATAACTATAGATTGATGGCCGAACAGCTTTTGCTGTTGAATCCATTTTAAAATCCTTCCGCCTATCTCTAGGACCGCTAGTGTTTTAAATTTAAAAATATTTTTTAAATAATTTAAGAAATTGATACTTAATAATTGGTCGTCTTCAGGTAGCTTTCCTTCATAAATTCTAACAAAATCCATATAGGCAAAAAAATCTTTCGACATCATTTCCAATTCAGAACAAATATCAAACAACTTTTAAAAAATTTTAAAAAATAATTAAAAATATTTTTAGAAAATTGGAGCTCAGTTTTAATCTTGTTCCTTCATATTTTCTACACTATATTTCAAAACCAACCTCATTTTCATTTTTAATTTTTCTTTTCAAATTTTTATTTTTTCTTTCAATTTTTTCACAATTCCAATTAATCAAAACATTTTTAATTAAATTATTAATTTCTATTAAATTATTGTCTTTCTTCTTTTTCAATTTTTTCCATTCTTTTAATAAAATATTTCCAAAAATTTTATTATTTTCGGCATTTTTGCTTTTCAATTTTAATTTATTTAGAGGGGGAAATAAACAATTAGAAAAACAATTTGGCAATTTATATTTCCCTATTTTAAATTCTGATTCTATTTCGCCTATATTATATTTTATTTTAATTAAATAATCTTTCCATTTTTGAATTTCTGAATTATATCCCAAATAATCGCTTTTAAACTTAAAAAATAAATATTTAAAAATTACTTTTTAAAATTTTAATCCTAGCCAATATTGTAGAAAAATCAATATTTTTGGTTAATATTTAATTTATTTATTTTCTTCACAGGATATAAATAATTTAAATTTAAAATATATTAGTAGAATTTTTCTAAAGCTAAAAAAGTTTCCGAAAATTAAATAGAAAAATTCAAAATAGTGAATGTTTTGATTTGGAATTTTTTTCTTTATTTTCCTTACCTTAGGAGAAAATTTTTGTATAAATTATTTGGGAGTATCTCCAAAATGCATTTCTAAAACAGAAATTGAGTTAGGAAACTTTTTAGTATTTAAATATTTATTTTTAATATTTAATTTTATTGAAATTAAAAAGAAAAATTTAATTTTCTTTTGAAAATTAATTTAAAAATAACTACTTTATATTTTAATTCTTCTAATAAATTATCATTGTTTGATTCCTCAATAATATCATCATCACAATTAAAAATTATAAATTTTGTTTCAATAATTATTATTAAAATGAAAAATAATTTTCTATTGAATATTTGCATTATTTTTAAAATAAATAAATAATTAATTTCTAAATAAAAAATATTTATAAATTTCAGCAATTTTAAATTTCAGGTAGGAGGGATAATTAAGATTTAATTTAAAAAATATCTTGAAATTAATTTTAAAATATTATTAAAAATATTTCATAATTTATTTTTTAATTAAATTTAAAAAAGTCAATAATTTTAAAATAATTGTCTATCACTTTTATTTACAATGTCAATTTATTAATTGCCCTTTTCACTGATTAGATGTTGAAAGAGGAAAGGATTTAATTTTTTAATTTTAAATATTTTAAAATAAATTTAGATAGGCAAACACAATAGTTAGAAGCAAAAGGTTATCAGAACCGGAACAGAAAATCGGTATTTTTAGGCAAATAACCGCAAAGAAATCAGGGAAGCGAAAACTCGTGATAACTGAAAACAGAGGGTATAAACCATATAAAACCATAGAGATAAAAACTATATAGAGATTTAAAATGTATGGTTTTATAATACTCAAAAAAATCCACCATTCCACCAAAAATTCTGCATGACAATTATAATGAAACGATTCAAATTTCTGAAAACTTTGAAACAATTAAAACAAGAAATTTTCTGATAAAAATACCGAGCTGATTTATGGCGCAAGATGCCAGATGTAGAATCATCTCTAAAATTAACTTCATTAACATTCTAATTTCACAATTAAAAACCCAAAAATCTTTACTCAAAACAAATATACATTTTATAAAGTATACATATGTAAAAATTAAATAAATAATAGGTAGGGTTGTTCAGGACTGGTTCCAGCCAAGCTGAAAATAAAGCCTGAAAACAGGTGAAATAGAGGTTGAAAACAGGTGACTTCTCTGAACAACCTTCATTTTTCATAGAAAATAAATTTAAAATAAAATTTAAAAAAATGTCCTTAGGACAGAATTTGAATTTTAATATAAAAATTTAAACTAATTATCCCAATAACTTTAAAATAAAAATGTTACTCAGTCTCTTAAAAATAATACCGTAAATTCTCTAATAGAAGCACATGTGCTTGTATTTTTCGATCCTCCCGTATGGTGTGCTTATATTAGAAGGTGTGCTTCTATTGGAGGGTGTGCTTTATTGGAGAATTTACGGTATACCCAAAAAATAACCCAATATCCAAAAAATATACCAAAAAAATAACCCGACTTTTAAAAAATGTTTTTTATAGTATGTACATGTTTACTCTCTTTTAAACTTTTACTGATTTCCAATCATTTCTTTCATAGCCTGAATAAATTCGTCTTTTGATTTGTTCATACGTCCCTTCAATTCGTTTGTATTACTCTCAAAACTTCTAAAAATTAATTTTCAAATATTTTTAAATAAATAATATAGTAAGATTACTCTTTCCAATCCTCATCATTCAAAACCTTTTCTAAAGCTTTTTTTAAATTTTCTTCCAAATTTTCATCTCTAAAATCAACTTCCTCAACATATCCACGTAATTCCGCTGCATATGCATTATATGGTTGGTCTGAATTATTTGGGATACAAACCATTGGAATTTGAAAATAAACTCCTTCAAGTAATGAATTAATTCCACAATGAGTGATCACTGCTTTTGTTAATTCATTGTCTAAATATTTTTTTTAAAAATTAAATTGAATATATAGATCATATTTTTGATTTTTATTTTCTTAATGGCATAAAACCATTAGTCGTTCTATGCGTATATTCTTGAGCACCATGTAACTCATCTCATTCATTATTAAAGTTAGGCGGTATCGGGATTCCGACCTAAAATCTGTATCGGTATTTTGGAATGATATTACCGATACCGGCCTCGGTATCAGAAAAACGGTTTCAGGATTTACCTTTTGGTTCGGACCCAGAGGAAATTAATTCCAAAAAGTTGGATAATATTAAGAAAATATTCTGGATCAATCTTTCTATGGCACAATTTTTACGGATATTTTGAATTTCTTTGAACATTAATATTTAAATAATAATATACCTAAAAGTGTTGTTTGTTGAATATATCCTTCTTGAATTTTAACATTTTTTGGGACAGGAATTTGTTTTTTTATGTCTTCCTTCTCATTATCAAAATCAAATTTCCAAATAAAAGAATAATTTTTAAAGGATCCAAAAACATTTAAATATTTTTGAAATAAATCAACAGACATATTTTTTGTTGAAATTAATGTTCCAAAACTGACAACAATAATCCCTTTAAATTCTGTTGATTTCCTAGCGTTTTTCAGTAATTCCTCCGTTTCCTTAATTTTTAAATGAATTTACTATAGTCTAACTAACAGGTCCAATAAAAATTTTAAATTTTTGAATTCAAACTAGGGCAGCAACCCGACCCCGAAAACCTCGACACGAACCCCGAAGGCTCTACCCCGACAAACCCATGTCCGCGACACACCTGCCCCCGAAAGGTCAGGTTGCTACCCTAGTTCAAATTAGATTGCTCTACATAAAACTTCGGACTCGGGAATTTTGGATTAAATTTTTAACAGCCTTCTCTGACCCAAACATATTTTGTGTATTGTCTTTTACTTTGAAGTGCAAATCCGATCGAGTTAAAGGATATTCTTTACTTCCCCATTTAGTTCAAGTCACATTTAGGTATTAGACTCCTCAACATTTATTGAACTCATATATAATTATAAATAATTACAGGCTTAATCGGTTCAGGCTCCGTAGCAATAATTCCTCCAATAAATTTAACTTTATCCTTTAAATTTTTCTCAGTTGAAAATATTTCTTCAATTTCCTTAAAATCCAATTCTAATTGAGTATTACAAAAAATATATTTTGTTTTTTTAATTAAATCCTTAAAATTTTTAAATTCAATTTTATTTTTTTGATAAATTATTTTAAATGCTTTTTCGGCATTTTGATAATATATTTTGTTTGTTCCCCATTCATTTTCATAATCACTTTTAATTCTGCCTGTTTGTGTTAATGCTTTCCATCCAACAGCTAATAATGTTCGTCGCTCTTTAAAATAAATTTAAATATTTTTAAAATTTAAATACAAATTTACCAGGAATATTTTTAGAAATAATTTTTTCATTTAAACCCATTAAATAATAAAAATGGGTATCAAAAGGCAAAACTCTTGTCAAGACAATATTTTTTGTTGAAATACCAACAAGTGGGAAAATCATTAAGGCTCCTATATGAAACATTTCACAAAGGCCTATTGTATATTGTGCTCCTTTTAATTCGTTTATCAACTTTGTATTTTTAGCCAGCACTAAAATAATATAATAATTAATAAATTTTATTAAAATACAGTTGAAACTTGGATTTTTAAACCCTCACTTTGGGACAGTAAAACAGCTGGGCTATAGCTATTTCTCTCATTCAACTAGTGCTAAAGGTTATTCGGCGGTTGATAACGAACAAGCATTTCATAGACCGGACTGATGTTTAGCCATTACACCACGCCGCCTACTACACAGCCTTAGAAATTAAATAACTACATATATGCTTTACAGGACGTGAAAAATCGTATTTAAAAATAAGTGATATCTTGAATTGAGGGTATCGATTTCGTTTTTTGGCGTTTTTTGGGTTTTTTTGCAAATTATTTTTAACTTTTTAATTTTCTTTGGATAATACGGGAAGTTAAATTCAAAGAAGTATGTATGAAATTTACAAAAAACTTAAATTGTAAAGCATAAAAATCATTTTGAAGA